TTTAGTACATAAATTTAGTTGGTAACTTCTAGCATCTTGCTCGAACTAAGTGATATTAATATGAACAATTAAATTAGAGTATATTTCAGCTAATTTATGCTCTAATATTATCAAACATACATGTTCATCTCTTTTATTCAAATTTTTATTTGTTTTTATTACTATATTAAATTTTAATATTTAAAAAAATTTTAATAGTCAAAATAATTTTATATCACAATATATATTACTTATCATAAATTTAAAATATAATTTATATCATCAATACAATTTTTATTTATAATATAATTTTTAAATTCAAAATTATTTATTTATTATAAATTTATTTATATTTCCGTGTCTTTTTTTTAAATTCACACATGCTAGTGGAGGTAATAAATAGTTATTAAAAGGTAAAAAAAAAAAGCTTATATCAAAAGATTTTTCTGATCTTTAATAGTTATTATTATACAACTTTAAAGTTTAAAATTATTAATAATAATATATACACTAAAATAAATTATGTATATATATAAGTATAAATAAACTAAAACTTATCTTGTATAATAATGTCCAAAATAAACTTCAATTATAAATTAAATTAATTAGAAAATTTATAAGTTTAGATAATTTTCATGATTAGGTTATCCTCACCGGCAAGCATGAATCATATGTACTTACGTTTGAATATAAAATTTGTTGAAAGCATACATCGGAGAGTTTCAATTATTGAAATAATATTGGTAGCCAATGGCACCCATAACTTGATGACCGCTAACCTAACCGAACTTAATATCCTATTTTGAGTTGACTTCATTTCTTGTGCATCTTCGTCAAATATAACATAAAATTCTGAATTTTCAAAGTTACTACAGTTTACTGTACATTATTATTTTTGTTTTGGGTAGAGTTTTTGGTAACAAAAAAAAATTATATAAAATGCTTAGATAACTTTTTCTTCGGCTTTTTTTTAGTATGTGGGATTTATTGTGCATGTTTGTGATAAGACAGGTTACAGCGCTTCTCGCCCTCAAATCATCAGAGATTATGCTAATAAAGAGATATAACATATATTTTCCAAAATATCTTGCTTAATTTGTGAAAGCATATGTAGAAAGGGTTTGCTCTTGTCGGAGATTTTGAATTCTCGTGAACTCGAACATTTTTGGTCCTCCAACTTGAATTAAAACACTATTCCATGTCACTGCAAGAAAAAAATGCAAAGTATTAACAGATAATTTTTTTATGAATATAAATTTGTCAAAAAATTTATATTTTTTAACAAATTTTATTGACAAAAAAATTATAAAATAAATTATATTATCGATAAAATATTTTTGATAAATTTATATTTGTTAAAAATGTAACGACTCGCCTAGCTGTCACACAACAGAACAACACCACACAAAATTAGAGTATGCATATAAAGGAGTAAATATATATACATATGTCTAGCCTGAGGCTTAACAAGTCAGTATCTAATACTAACAAAATTGCTACACCGAGTAGCCCACACACCAAAAGTCAGCTCCTACTACCACCTGTAGTCTTGTTACTATTCTCCAGCCTATCTCTGCTTTGCTCTCATACACAGTATGATTATTGCAGTCCAACATACATGGAAACAGACAAGGGTAAGCTAGTGAAAAGGAATCAACATATAGTTATATTTATAGGCACCTTTCAACTTAACAGCAACATCATCATTCTCAACAGATTTAACATACAACACATAACAACATACAGCTCAATCACAGCTTCACAACACATTGCACATATACAACTCACATCAACATCAAATCAACATAACACAACTTATGCATCGTTACGCATTTCAACTCGGAGATCTCCTACAACATGGGTGAGCAGTTTAAGTGGCTAGGTCCTACCGAACCGACAACAAAGAACCTTTTTGGGCTTGCTAGGTAAACAACAAATTTGGATGTCAATCCACAACACGATAACGATTACTCAAACTTTGCCACTTAAACAAGGAAATATAGTACGATGTCAAGATAGAACAACTAGGTTTTAGGTCTACCACGACATTAGCTAGCTTAGCTAAGCCACCTATGGAATTAGTCTACCGATTATCCTCCAAATATTAAAACCCTTCGATACTCAGTTAGGAACTAAGTTCCCGACTTCGTACTTTACTCGATTGGCCGCTTGTAATCGGTATAGCTCGACCTGGCCCCTATACCGTGGCCGCTTTGTACACATGTGCCTCGACCTTGCCCACACATAGGACCAACTAAGTACTAGAGGAGAACAACATAATGTCCACTGTTAAGTCTCAATTTTACCTCTTTTTGGATGAGACTCCTTCTCCTGTGAGTTCCAAGTGCGAGCAGTGGCCTTGGCGCAGAGCAATGTGATGGAGCCAAACGGCGAGGCCGATGGACTGCGTCGGCAATTGGCGGAGCAGGAGAAGT